AGGATAGCACACCATCCTGCTCAAAAGAAGTATAGGATTAAAGCTTTGTTCTGTTTTGAGCTCTCTGCTTATTAATAAAGAGTGGATGGTAACTGAGGAGATAAAGAGACTGTATTGTGAGATACCACAGAGCACGGTATGTGTGATATTCCTTCTGAAGCCATAATAACCATTTGATTTCTGACCCTGAGGTGAATTTTGTGTACTCATATGCATGAAGGAGGTGAAAGGATATGCACTGAGCTGTGCCCTTCTTTCCAAACTGTGTTTTTAGAAGTGATATAATTGAGGCATAAATAAAATAACAAAGAAGGCTTTTGTAGGCATGTATTATTATTTCAAACTACCAACAGTTGACTTTGCACTTCCTGGTATTTTAGAGTCCTGAATTTTAAATGGCACAGCTCTTCTTTACTATCTCCTGTAAAAAACACTCAGTAGGGAAACTTCTAGAAACCAGTTCTGTATAGCCAACAGTCCTAGGAAATTTGAGTTCCTTGCTCATCTCCTATTTGTCCTGTGACATCTCTAAAAATAAAGATTACAGCCCTAAAATCGCCACTAGGTGAGTCTATATCCTTTCCCCAGAATTAGGCATGGTAGTTGATTGAAGTGTCTGCCATTATATGGGATGCCAAGAGCCCACCCCCTGCTGCTTTCCATTCAGAGGAATGGGGAACCTATGGATAAATCTCCACCTGCAGTGCGTGGAATGGACACCGTGAGCAGCTGTCACAGGCTCTCTGTAATTATGCAAGTATTCTACTAATATTATAAAACCAGGTGTCCCCATCTCCCTTTCTGGCTCTGGGTAGTGTTTCTGTAGGTGTCGGGAGCACTGAACTCTCCCCTTGTCCCATCACCTGTGTCTTTGTGCAGCACAAGCAGCACTTCCCCAATGCTCGTCCTGCACCAGAGGTTATCTTCTGCTGTCTGTTCAGTGCTCGTGGCTGTTCTGTGCTGTGAGATATCCAAACCCACGGTGATTGCTGTCGATGTGCACCCACACTTTCCTTCTGTTTTCAGGCATTGTTTGCTGCTGGAAAGGTGCAGCTGGCTTTGTTCTCTTCAGCAGAAGCTTTTTGCCAGATTTTAGTGGCTGAGATGTGATGTGAGACCAAAAAGTATCAGTGCATCCTTTCTGCAACTGAGGGATCTCTGAAAGGAAAAGGAGAGAAGCTGCATGGTATGATGCAATTCCAACTCTTTCAAAATTAAACAGAGTGCAGTTCTGGAGAACCACCTTAGAAACAAATTGGTAGTTTGCTCCTAGAAGTGGTTCAGAAAAATACATTTTGCCACAAAGTGTTCCTGTCTTTCTCATTATATTATCCTTCTTCTGAGGATCACAATGTATAATAAGCAGTGAATTTATGAATACTAAAATATTGACATTTCCTAAAGATTCTTAATAATGATGGCTGATATTTCATTTTTACCCTTGCAAAACCCAAGCCTCAGTGCCATTTTAGAGTCTAATACTTTAGGTTTTGTCCATCACTCCTGGTTTTTGTTTTGGCAAGCCTTTATCTGAACAAGGAACTGGGCAGATCTCTTGATACCATAGAGGTATCAAATCTCCCCCTGAGAGGCTGGTATTTATTCTGAAGTGGTCTAAATATTGTTTGTTAAAACAATCTACAATATCTGCTTTTTTTTTTCTATATTGCTTAATAAAGTAAACGGGACAAGGATCTGTTCTTCAATTAACCTTTTCCTGTCAGACTAAAGTTTAAAGTAAGTTTAGATTCAATACAAAGCCTACTAATTAATACCTGCTTTTTAAACCTAAATTTGGGCTAAATCACAGTGACTTTTATGCCTTAAAGGCTTCCTTTTTGCTGCCTGAAAGAGTTCCTACAAGCAAAAATTAAGAGCCGGTCTTGAAATTACCTTTATTTCTGCTGTTTACAGGATCCTCAAACCTCCTTACTGCAGAAAGCATGCAAAGGTGATAAATTGTGCTTTGTGAGCACCAGCAGCCATGACTTAACCCTCCCTCTGTGGACACCTGGCACTGGCTGTGGGAGCTGAACTGGGGCACAGACTGGGAAAGGTTTGTGGAAGGCACTGCTTCAGAGACCTGTTTGTTTGTGCAACCTGCAGTTGCATTTCCTCTCAAGTAAACAATGGGGGAATACCTTCATGCTGTGCAGAGCCCAGGGCTGCTAAATGGCCTTTTTCATCTCTTCCTGAAGGTTAGTCCCTTGCTTTCTTTGTACATTCACTCAGTAACAGATTTATGACACTTTACAGATTAATCTGAACATTTCAGAGCATGTAAATGGATCTAAATGAAGTTGCAAATAAAAACATGCATATCCTTTGAATGTCCTGAAAAGGACTTTTGAAACAGCAGACTATGTAGAACATATTTTTCGGCGTTTATTTCTTACACTGGTGTAAAGACAGGAATTTTGAGAGCTGGATGAATATGACAATAGCAGACCATAATTTTAAATTGATAAATTAGAAGAACAAACCATGGTAACATAATGCCCCCTATGGTTTGTAAGGCAGTATGTACGACAGCTTTAAGGGCAAAGCTTTCCTACATACCTTCTCTTAGTAGAATCAGAATTATATGTCATGCTCCTCAGCTAGAGAGGAAAAAATACCTGGTTGCATTTTATTAATAAATCGGTCAGATACTGTTAATTTAGATGCTTTAAATCTCTCACTCCTTTTCGGAGATCCAAAGCAAAGGGGATGAGAAGCGTTTTTGAGAAATGTAGAAGCAGCTGAGTTCCTGCGCTCCGCATCCAGTTCAGGGTGGGAATGATCCGGGAGAGGCGGGACCGGCCCGGAGAGGGGAGCGCTCTGTAGTTGAGGCAGCGGCCGCTGGATGGCGACATCGCCCCGCACATGGGGACCGGGGACACATGGGGACACTGATGGGGACCGGGGACACTGATGGGGACCGGGGACAGTGCTGGGACCGGGGACACATGGGGACAGTGCTGGGGACACTGATGGGGACCGGGGACAGTGCTGGGGACCGGGGACACTGATGGGGACAGTGCTGGGGACACTGATGTGGACCGGGGACACTGATGGGGACGGGGGACAGTGCTGGGGATCTGAGACAGTGCCAAGGACAGTGCTGGGCTCCGGGGACACGGGCACGGCTCGGGCTCGGCAGCTGCACACTGTCTGCACCTGAGGCTCTCCTCCGCCGTGTGCTGTGGATCCGGCCGGGATGTCGGCTCAGGAATTCCCTTGCTGGAGGTTTCCTTTGTCCTGCTGGGGGAACCTTCAGGAAGCCTTTGCAGCAGCGCTGGGCAGGGCAGGTTTGCCCTGGCGAGTCACCCCAGCAGTGAATCATGCAGGAGATAACGTGTAAACGATGCCAGGACATTTTGATGATGAATTAGTGCTCGTTTTTCACCCTGCGACGCCGTTCCCATTTCAAGGCAAGCCTTCTCTCTTGCACCTCGGTCCCTTTATGGTCTCATGGTGCCAGTGAGGGCAGAGGCAACAGAGGAGCAAAGCTGCCCGTTCAAGCACTGTGGGGTCAGGGCAGTGCCCGGCCAGGCTACCCTGTCCTGCACCTGCAGGGCATCCCCAGGGTGCCCCATGGAGGGTGGTAAAGAGATCCAAGACCTAAAGTGGATTAAATGAATTATACTCACCTTTGAGCTGTGGATTGGGAAACACCCCAGGGCTGGTTCTCTTTCAGTTCCCACAGAGCTCACAAATTCACTTTTAGCCTTCCCAGTGAAAAAAGAAACAGCTGATCCTTGTATGGTGTGATGCCTTGGGTTTTAGCTTTTATATTTTTCAGAATCTCTGCTGTTTAGTGTGTAAACTCTGAAACTTCATATTAGGTGTTGGTAAATTCTCTTCACAGGGTACTTAGACAAAACCATCCCTCCCTAGCTAGATAATCAGGGATAACTTATCCCCAAAAAGCATAAACAACAGCGAGGGAAAGGGGCAAGCCAGGGGGCTGAGACTTCATAACCTGAGGCTGTGGTTGGATAATTGACCCCCAATATGTAGATGAACCAAAACTTATAAAAGTGTAGACTCGTGACTGGGATCTATCTTGGATTTGATTTGGGTGTAGCCCTGGCTGGGCTCTTGCACTGCTGAAGGCGTATCCTTCCAATAAATACCTATTTTATCTCTTTTACTCCGCCTAGTCTCTGTTCCAGGTAAGCCCTTCCAGGCATCAGGTGGAGAACTCAGGGAAGACCCACAGTGCCTAGCAGTGCACACATCAAGTGAGAAAAAAATTCCTGAGGGTCGTTGCAAGGAGTCCTGGAGCGAATGTGTACAAGTTAAACATTGGAGCAAATTGGTTTTGTGTCATGTGATGGAGGAAACATCTCCCAGGCCCAGTGTTTGAAGATTGTGTCTTGGATCGTTTTGTGTTTCAAGACTTAATAACCTTGATTACACATTTCCATTCTGCAATCACTGAAAAAGTCATGGCTATCATATGTTTGTGTCTTTGCAACCTGGGGGCTGGGAGGGAGGGTAAAATACAGGGACAAAGTGGGAGTCACTCACTGGCAATAACTGTTGCATGTTGTCAGAACATAATGAAAATTATTTTGGTCTTCTGCTTTTAAGATGGACTCCTGATAGTAAACTGTAGGCAGACTGATTAAACAGTAAATACAATTAGAACTCTGAAAAACCCCAGACATTTCATTTCACTGACAGTTTATGATAATATGATGATAATACATACTAATATAGTAATTATTATGATAATAATCCTTTGCTACCTTCCAGGTGCTGCCAAGTCCATACCTGGAGCAGGAAATGCCTCTTCTTCACTCCTTCTGCAGCAGTCATTTATGTGTTGGACTGGGACTGAAAATACATTTCACAGCTAAAATTGCCACAGCTAAGGTTGTACAAATGGTTATTTGTTATTTCAGCTACTGGTCCATGGGCAGAGATACAGTTAAAAATCCATGAAAAGACATATTCACAGGGTTTGTGAAAAATGAGACAGTTTTCCCTCCCTTAATGACAGGGATCTCAAATGAGTTGTGTTGTCAATGGGAGAGCAAGAGGTTATGTAGTTTTTCATAATCTGTAAAGCTTCTTCAGAATCATGTCATTAGCTTTCCTGTGGTAGAGCACAGCAGAGCTAATAATGCAATTATGGTTCATGTAGTTAAACTATGCTATTGATATTTTTTTTTCCCAGGAGGCCTTCATTTCTGGCAATTCTAATCATCTTCATTGTACAGCTGTATGGATTCCATGTTTCACTCTGAGGGAAATAAAACTGCAAATAAATACCATCTTTCCTAATGTCTCTGTAAATGCCAGATTTAGTAACCATTAACCAAATGTTGGAGTCCATAAAATGTAATGTATAGTTGTATAGTTCTGTGTGTGTGTGTATATATATATATATATATATATATATATATATGCCATGTTCACATACTAGGCACCAGAACAAACTGGAATAAAAAATAGTAGAATTTCCTCCAATATTTCATTATTCTCATTTCTTACTGCTATAATTAATACATTTTCTGTTTTTGGCATGCTAAGTCTCTCCCTGTCTTTCTAGTGTATTCAAACTGTAAATATTAGACTAAAATAGTATAATTACCACATAAAAATTGTGTGTGTGTGTGTGTGTGTGTGTGTTTAGCAGGAGAGGGATCCTTTTTTTAACTTCCCATTCTTTTGAACAAACCTGGAACTTGAAGTTCTGTATCTGATTCTGGTTCTGTACCTGATACACAATCAGTATGAGAGCTAGCAAGCACGGGCTAATTAATATGTTATTTAGTCTAGTATTAAGCATTAATTTAGTACTCCTATTAATGAAAAATTACTCTTAAAAAATCTATCTGTGCCAATCCCTACTACAGCAAAAATACCGATCCTGAGATATTGAAACACTAATTAAAAAACATAAAATAAGAAATAAGGATATTCCTTGCTTCTGTGGTCTCAATCTTCTATGATTCAGATTCTTCTGAATTCTTCTGAGCAATGAATTTCTGAAAGCACTGCCCTGTTTCCTTGTGTGGAAGGGAAAGTTTCTCTCAACTTCTGTATTTTTCTGAGTAAACTACCAAGCATATTACAAAGCCTTTCGAAAAGACACATAACGAAGTGATGATAAGGCATGTTAATAATTTTGCTGACAGTCATCCTTCTTTAACATGCCTGGACATAAACAGTAGGAAATAAACACAGGCAATAATTGCTATTAGGTGCCTGAAGAACAAACAAAGATATGAGAGGGACATGCTAATTAGGCTTTCTAGACGGACCACATGGGGATGAAAAGGAAATAAAAATAAAAATAAAGCAAACAAAGCTGAAGTATTTAGACAGCCTTGCAAGAAGTTATCTGTGACAATGAACTGTCCATGGTCTTAAAGTCTTTAGAGAGAATATTTGAGACAGTATCTGTCATTTTCCTGCACACATCAGAGGCAGGGTAGCACCGGGGTGTCACTTTGGGATCTCATGGGATATACAACAGAACTGATCAGTCCTAAGGGAGCTGAGATGGGGAGACAGCAGGAACAATCTCCTACCAGAGCATCTTGTTATGGGAATTGAGCAGCTCCTGCCATCCCCCTCTCTGTGATTGCTGGAGGAGACAGGAACCGTGCAGCCACGGGGCTGGCACACGTGTTAGGGAACTTCACATGGCTTTTCCAGTTACAGCACATATGTTTGCTCAACTCTTTCCACAAACTGTATTCTTGCTTTCTGTTACACAGTAACTGTTTTGGCTTCTGTACTTTAGTAAAGCATTGAAAATATTCAACCTGGGAGTTTGAAATACGTAAGCAAAATGCTGTCAAGTCATACTAATTTGAAAAATTGTGCAGACACAACCTCCTAGTATTCCCTTTTGCTCTCATTTGTTTTACTGATGGTGCTAGGTCGAAGAAGCAGCCTGTATTGCAGGACAAGCAGTTTGGAAGTTCTGAGCATCTCTACGTTTTCATGTATGCACAAGTTTTCTGCTTAGCTTTTTTTGCTTACCTAAGCCATTGGTGATTTGCTAACATTTTCCTCTTTTACTTTGTATAACAGGAAATCTGCAATTTGCTTTGCAGGAATCAAAAATACAAATTTGTTGCTTTTGAGATCAAAAGCAAATGGAAAAACTTCTTGTGGTTTTGGTTGTTTTTTATTTTTTTCTTTGCCAGTAATTGACCTGTGATACAGGAAGAGAGGAATATAAAACAAACCTGGGGAAAAAAAAATCAGGTTTCCAGATCTGCTTTAAGCAGACTAATGCATGAACATGTATATAAAAATGAGTGATTGGACCAGTAGTAAAGTGACTGCTTGATGACCACTGAATGATCCAGGCAAACTGAGGCACAAAACACTTACTGTATGGCTTGGTGTCTCAGATAAGTTCCTAGGATTTTATTTGACCCAGTTGAGATGCTGATGGATAACTGTTATTGTATTTTTTTTTCTGGAAAATCCACAGTAGATAATGATTGTAATAAATTCTATGTGTTTCTACTATTGGCTACCAGTAGGAAATAATATGAAAAATAAAATTACCTGGAATCCTGCAAAGATTGCTTTTCTTATTGGGCCACTATCACCCTTTCAGTAGGTACAATGTCTTCAATGCAGTAAATGCAAAACCAAAACCTTTTGAAATTAAAAGAAAACACGAATAGTTATGCTATACTATTGGGTAGAATTTCAGAACATTGATACTAAGTGTAGAAAACAAATTGGATTGAGATTCTTAATTCCTTTTATTATTTTTTTAGGGGATGAAAAGCTTTATCAGAACTAAGCTCATCTAAAACTTATTATTCTTTCAGTATGCTAATTAATAGAGCAGGATCATGGATTTGTTAATTAAAATAAGATACCTCAGGGAAACTGAAATTAATTTTGCTGTCCTAATAGAGTTACCATTGTGCCATTAAATCTTATGGATGTCTTATCTACTTCTCTTTCTTTCCTTCCCTCAAAAAGTAAAAAAAAATTGTTTTATTTAGTTTGAATTTAAAATCAGAATGACTTTTGAAAATGTGGATAAGATCAACAAATAATCTTGAAATAGCTTGGATTTCCAAAAATCTTGGAATGTGGCCTTCATATGAGTGTCAGGACTGATCCCTCGTGTGCTCTAGATGAGCACAAAACTGTTCACCTTGGGATCACCAGGTCTGAGCTGCTCTGTGTCACTTGTAAAGAGCCACTCCAGGTAAGAGTCACATGGTAATGTTGGCTTATATTTTCCAGAGGTGGAACGAGCTAAACTGAACCATTGGGCAGGCATCATAATGAATGCTAAAAATAGATATTCTACCTTAAATGGAACGTGTTTGATGGAGGGAAGCAGCAGATCCTGTGGTGGGCTGGGTGTGTCCACGTGGTGATTTAGCTCAGTGACTGTTTTAGGCGAGTCTCCTGGTCATCATCACACACTGTGCTCGAGAGTGGCTTTGGCTCAGTCCTGGAGTGTGCAGGCTGGTTCCTGCTGGTGGGATCACACCTAAAGCTGCCAGTGGAGCTTGGCTGAGGAGCTGCCCAAAAGCCGAGCAGCTCCTGAGCACGGTGAGTGCTGGCTGCCTCCTCTTTGTGCACGTTTGCTGCTGCTGTGCTCTGCTCTCGGGAGCAGCTGGGGCTGACCACACCTCACTGCACCTGCTGATGTGACAGGTGGTGCCAACCTCAATTTCAAAGTCAGTCATTTTTACAGAAGGAGAAGAAGCTGAAATATTCTCAGTGTTTTCTGATACTCTGTCTTTTCTGTACTCTTGCTTCCAATTTAGATGTTTTTAGAGAAGAGGAAGGGAAAAGGGAGGGATAAGTGTGAGAGAAGTACTAGTTTTTCTTCTACAGCAAAGCACAATTCTTCTAATTTTGCTTGATGAATTTTCAAAGCCAGCAAAGTTCATCATCACCAGGAGTGTTAATTGCAATTTGTATCCAAGACTTCTGTATTCAATGTACTAGAAGATGGAAATAATCTTATTGATATACTAGTGTATACTGAGCACTTTATCTCATTTTGTCAAAGGCTTAAATGTGTAAAATTTAATTAGAGACAAGCACTAAATCTTATTGTTAGGGACTGCTGAGCAGTTGCAGCTTGGTTACTCCCGTGAAAGCTTCTGACTTCCCAGGAAGATTGTCTGCTGTTTGCTTTCAGCCTGTAAAGTGTTCAGAGGCATTGGTTACATGGAAGGACAGGCAAGATGCAGTTCTGCTACTGTTCAGTCCATGTTTAATCAGCAGAATTTGAGATGTTTTGCGAATTTCAGTTGAACTTGGCAGATGGTTTCAGGCAAAAATAAAAATAATGACAGGTGAAATTAATTTCATTTTCTCAAAATAGATTAATGATAGTTTACAAAAGTAAGCAGAAAAGTATCCTAAGATATCTTTGTTTCCAATGTACAGCCAAATCAAGTAAACTCTGTACCTCCAGTGTGCTCTTGCCACAGAGAAAGTTATTCTTTCTCACACTCAAACCCAATTAATATTAAAGGATATTTATCTGGAACAGATTAGATCTTCAGAATAGATGTAAAAAGATTCCCTCAGAATATTCATTATTTAGAACAAAATCACTCCGAAGTGAGAGATCAGTTTGAAAATTCCTTCATGAGCAGTGGTGAGGTCTGGTAGAGGTTTTGGTGCACGATGTATTCAGGTATTTTATGCTGTTCCTTGCTGGCTTTATTTTTTTCTTAAATCACATGGTCTAGTTACATAAATCAGTCTCTTGATGGCCACACTTCCTCTTCTTTTATTCTAAAACTTGCTTAATATGATTAAAATTGAAACATTTGGTTCTGGGGATGAATTCAGTTTTTTGGACTAATTGCTTCGTGCAGCTGTTTCAGAACTGGTAGGAATCCAGAACATGCTTGAGCTTAGTGACAGTGCCCACAGCCCCTTGAAGGCTGTATTTCCATAAGAACAGATTTTAGAGATTATTTTAAAAACCTAAAAACTTAGTTCAACAGAAATCTACTTCCAAAAAAAAACCCTGACAAAACCAAAAACCAAACACACCTGTTCCCCTAAAACCCCCCAAACAGACAAACCCCATGCCAAAGCCTGTGTCAAGATTTGGTATGGAAGCTGCTTTATGAATTTTCGGTGGATTGTTGTATTTTTCTGACATCTATATTTAGTTTCTGATCCACATCAATACTTGCTGGGGGAAGCATTAAAACTTCTGATACATATTCAGTACCATGTGCCTCTCTAAACACAAACACTCGCAAGGTTTCTTTCCTTACACAACCACTTTAAGATTGCTATTTTGATCCCATTTCTCCCAGTGGGGTTAAATGCAAAATAAAGCTCAGGCTGCTATTTCGAGGATTGCGTTTTGCAGTTAATTGGTGCACGGCAGAGCCCGTGTGGAGCAGGTAGCTGGCGGTGCTGCCTGGGGAGGCAGCTCCGCATCCTCCGTGCGCTGCCGGCGCCGGGACCGGCTGCGCAATTCCAGCCTGACTGCAGAGCTGGCAGGGGAGGAGCTCCTGGAGGCACCGGCTGAATGAAGCAGGACGCCTCACATACAAAAGTTCAAGGTGAGAGCCCTACTAGGTGCTGGCTGATTTAAGAATTCGTTCGGTTTTTTATTTATTTTTTTTTTTTTTTCTTTCCAGGGCACAAAGCAGTACTGGGTAAAATAATGTAACTTGGGGCTTGTAATTGCACAGGGTCACAGTCTGGTAGTTATGATCACGCTCAGCATTTCTCCCTGTGCTAAAGGGAACACAAGAAGAGGGAAGAAAGCAGGCTATAATATTTCCTATTAAAAGTGGCAATAACTGCGTTTTAGTGCTGGTCACAATTGATATTTCGAGGAAAGGAAATTTAGAATGCAAACAGTGATTGGATTTCCCTCTCAGCAGCAGGGAAGCTCAGGCTTTGCCTGGTGATGCTCAGGTGCGTTCCCTGGTGCCTGTGTGCTGCTCTTAGCCCAGTGCTGGATGGCACAGGGCATCCCTGGCTGCCTGGAGCTCAGCAAGAGAGGGTGGAGAGGGGCTGAGTCTCTTCCTGAACTTGTGGAGACTGTGGGGACAAGGGGAGAGGCAGTTTCTTCTTTCCTGGAGGAGTCTGTAGTGGTACAGTGGGGAAAGGGGAGTGCCATCTTCTCCTGCTGAGTACAAGGACAAATACCTCACACCAGGTTTACAGAGCAATTTTCTGAACAGCAGGGAGCAGGACGAGAAATAAAACAGCTTTTCCTAATACTTTGAAATTTGTTACTGTCTCCTGTTTTTCTCTTGTGAAGGTGGTTTTTGTGACACCATTGCCATACTCCTGCTGGGGTGCCTGTAGAAAATGGGAGAGTGATTATGCTCCAGAAAAATGGCACCTATGTTGAGCCATATGACATTTTTGCTCTCTTGATCCACCTGGTTGACTATTACTACATACCTTCTGGAGGAAAATCAGTGTTCTGTTTCTGTGCTGAGGACAAGGATGTCTTAGTCCATGGATATGTTTCCTACAGGCTGCAGTAATTTATGTTATAACCATTAACTGCAGTGGTGCTTTTACATCAGCTCAGCAGGGATGGATCTCTGGGCCTTTGTGCAAGTGGTAGTTATAGAAAAGATGCAATTTTTCTTTAAGGAAACAGAGAAGGTCTTAGATGTATAAACTCCTCCAGCCAAGCACTGCCTGCCCTGATCTGGATAGGCTCATTGATTTTGATGAATCCATGCTAACTTGTGCCTTCTAAGGATTTACCCATCAATTTTTATCAGCTTTACAGCTGGGGATGGAGCAAGAATATTTTAGAGGTGGCAGGAATATATGTGTGTAGACTCAATTTTTTTTCCCTTTTAAATTTTTTAAAATATTTTTTTTAATAGCTGTGAATGTGTTTCAGATGCCCAGCATATTCATGGAGAGGAAGGCAGTGTATTCTCTTTAGTGCCGAGACTCTGACTGGTAGAGTCAATTACATCCCTCCCCTGGGCCTTCTTCAAGGGTCAGAGGCAGCCAGGTTGGTGTCTTGGTGAAATTCTCCTTTGGGTGCTGCTGCTCTACTTCCTGAAGGCCCCTAAAATATGGTTAGAAGTAGCAGTACCCAATTCTTTAAATGTTTGTCCTCATTTCTTGAGTGTTCCTCCTGTGCATATCTAAAGGGCACCAAAGCATGGCTGTCTTTGTGCCTGAATAAATATAATTAACTCTTCTGTAGCTGATGTCTTAGTGAGAAGGCTTTTAATCATGACAGCAGCCATTTTGGACCAATATATAAGTATTATTTTTTTAAAAAGCACACCAAAAATTCAGATTAAGGAAATTATTAAATATGTGGTTTTACTTGTAAGGATTTATGCCAGTGCAAGACTATTGTTTGCAAATCTTTCAGAAGTCTACTGATATACTCTACTAAAATTATTGCTTTGGAATAAAACAATAGGAATGGGGTAAAAGGGAACACTGTAAAAAGATGTGGAAATTGGTGAAAAAAAAAGAAAAAAATACAAAATGTACTTCGTTCTGTTACCTATTTACTGCAATTTTGCAAATAATGTCAGAAAAATTAATTCTTTGGGGCAGAGCTAGTTCAGGGAAATGTTTATTTCATGAGCAGCAGGAAGATGAAACCTGGCTCCTGTAGGGAGGGGAGCCTGCCCGTGCTGCCAGGGCAGCTCCTGGGCTGGCCTGTGCTTACCACTGCACCTAGGGAGTTCTCAAACAGGCAATGATAAACTCCTGGGAAATTTCACGTAGCTAAATCCATAAGTAGATCTGAGGCTCTAGCATTTGCTACTATAGTCTGTAAAAATCAACTTCCATATCATTTGAGGCTTTTTTGGGGTGGGTTTTCTGTATTCTTTCTTTAGAGAATCCTCATCAGCATCTTCCTGAGCTGTAAACTCTGGAATTTAATCTGCTCAACCATACTTCAGAGAGATTCAAACCAGTGGAACTTGCAGTAGCAAAGAGGACAGAAGATGGTTCCCAGCACCTCCCTCTGTTCTGCAGCCATGCATCACAGCTGCCTGCAGGTCACATCTGCCTAATGATTTCCACAGCAACTTGGGCATTCAAGGCAGGAACACAAGTTGGTAAGTTCAGGTTACTCTCCCTTCTTCTCCTCATCTTTTCCTCCTAGTGCAATGGAGGTAATTATATATGCCACAATTTTGGACAGTGCTCGTCTAGGACAAAGCACTGCCAGTTTCAGTTCTCCAAATCTAGTTCAAACCCCTCGCAGGGATCAGCAGAACACATGTGAGTGTGGGGAGGCATGGTGGTGGGGGAATGTACAGGATGATTTTCTGGGACTGGGTGTGGGCATGACATCCCTTGGAGGGCCTCTGGCTGATGTTACATGGGTGGAATACAGTGAGAAATCCAAGGCAGCTTTTCCTGCTGTGTGCATGGAAAATGTTGACTGGGATCAGCTGTGGGGAAATCATAGAATGGCCTGGGTTGGAAGGGACCTTAAAGATGATCTAGTTCCAAATCCCCTGACTTGGAGAGGCAGTCCCTCCCCTAGACCAGGAGGCTCAGAGTTCCATCCAGCTTGGCTTTAGACACTTCTGGGGATGGGCCATCCACAACTTCATTAGCTCCTCTGTGGTTGCTGGATAGCCTGAAGACAGGGAAACACAGACACTGAACTAAAAACAGATGCTTTGTATTCTCAGAATGAACACAGACGTTATAAAGCAGGATTTTAGGTCCAATGTGTATTTAGCCAGGGGCTACACTGCAGCTTTGTCTGTCTGAACTCTTTTCCCTCTTCCCTGGGTGCCCTGCATGTGTGGGTGCCTGTCCCCGTGGCTCAGCCAGCACAGTGCTCCGTGCCATGAGGACAGCACTGCTGCTCCCGTGCTCTGCCAGCTGACAGCGAGGACACAGACACCTGCTCCAGTTCTGTGCATGCTGTGCACCTTTCCTTATCTGCTGCCACAAGAAAAGCCTTTTCTTCTAACCCAACTTCCTTTGAAGAAGGAACTCGGGAAGCGTCATGGCCTCTCAAGGTAAGTGCATTTATAGGCTACATTTTTAGATCGTGTTTACAGAAAGCTACAGTCTTGTGCATTTCCAGCCATCAGCAGTCTGATGAAATGAGTGTTTCAAGCTAAAACCATGTCAAAGCACAGTTGTTTTGTCTTCCTTTAATTTTTCAGCATCCAAGAGGCTCCTAAGGGGACTAAAATCTATACTAGGATGTTACTTGAATAAAATAAATGATAAAATGTTAGCCTCTGCTTTCAGTCAGAAAATGTAGTGTTGGTATGTTTGTGTTTAAACCTGTTGGTACAGAATGCCTGGGAAGGGTGGGTACTGAGCCAAGGGTACCACTATTTTTTCATGCTTCTTCCCTATTTCACTTTGAAAATACTACATCAGCAAATGCTTTCACATTCAGAACTGGCCAGAGACCTGATAACCCCATATGAAGAACAATAACTGAAGAATAGCTGAATTTAATCAGATTACTTCTATCTGGGTGTGTCTTTATCACATACTGACTTCAGCAGTAGCCAGCTGAGTACTCAGGGCTCCGGACAAACATGCAGCATCTGATTTATCAGCCTTCTCAATTCATTTTCTCTAGGTTTGCAAATTCTTAAACTATGCAGAAGGATACAAACCTTTTTCTCTTAATGTGAGTGCAACTCCACGGAGGTAATTCTGTCGGCATGTGCAGAGGCACATGTTGGCCCAGGGAGTTTCAGCAATGTCTGTAGAAGTTTGCCAAATGTTTATCATTCTTTCTTGCCCTCAAAACACTCAAGACATTCTGCATTAGAGCACTAAAAGGTAACAGGGGCAACAGGTTTTACAGCATTGTTGTTACTCTTGCAATATAGGGGTCTAAAAGAATTTTGTTTAGCTTTAGCCATATAAGAGAAATCTGGGTTTGCATATTTTTGATATATATAATTTAGGAGAAACATTTAGAGTTAAATAGTAATGGTGTGGAATATGGTTTTTAGTTTGAAGAAACCTGACAATACGCCTCTTTTAGGAACATGCAACTCTACAAATTATGTTTGTACAGAATAGTCACTGTATCATATGGTAACTTTTAAGGTTTTCCATGCTAGTAATGAAATGGGAATCACACACAAAAATAGACAAAGTGTCAGACTAGCTCAAATTGTCATTAATATTTAATGTATTTACTGTTTGATTTTTGTATAGCCTAAAATTTGACAGGTAGAACTGCAATTTGTTGTCTTTTTTTCTCTTTATTATTCAAGAATAACACTAACACTGGGCTACTTCATGGCATTTCATGTAACAACAAGAGTTACGGCAGTAACAGAACCCTGTGAGGTAAAATGATGCAGAAGAGCATATAAAATATTTATTACACAGTTATACATTTTTAAAAGCCAGCAACAAATTCAAAGGGGTTACTTCTTCCTGTGGTCTCAGACTTTGAAAGAAAGCAGTGGCTGCAAAGACAAATTAAGATCAAAATATGATTGAATGATGAATATTTCACAGTGAGTTTAATTAATACTAAAGGATCTCATTTAAGCCCACAACAGCAAAAGAGAGATTCAGACTTAGAGCCAAAATTCCTTCTGGACCTCAAAACCCATTGTGTATTGTTACACATGAGATAAAAATGATCAGTTTGGGGATTGCTTTCCTGCCAAATCACAGGGGCTCAGCTCAGTATAAGAATTTGACATATATATGGGGAGAGCTTCAGTTTGCTCCTCCTGGTTCCTGCAGAACCAATGTTGCTGAAGGCTGAGGAACAATGTACCTGGAAAAACTCGCAGGAGATTTTTGGAAATCCAGTGGTCAAGGTGGTCACTGCCCTGTGGGAGATGGTGCCTGTGCCTGTAGAGGAGTGTGGATGTGCAGGTGCCTGTGGCAGTAAATGCTCTTGTTACCTTCACAGCACTGGCCAAGGTCACCATCACTGTGCCCTGAAGGACTTCTTTGTGATAGCAAACCAGAAAACACAGCACAATGATATCTGATTATTCATTAAGATAATAATGAATAATACACTATAAGAGGCTGTGTAGACTTTGATATCAGGATTGCAATATCCAGCTTGGGGAATATGAGATCCCTGGAAAGGTTATCTCTAATTAAAGAGAAATTATGGGTGTCCTCAGGATGCTGGAAAGCATCTTGCTGGGAGCCAGCCATCAGCAGCTCAGGGTGCACTGGGACACAGGGCAGCTCACAGGGACCAGGGCTGGGCAACCTGTGCTGGGGGGCTTCTGGCCACCCTGTGTGTAAGTCCAGGCCAGCTCCAGCCTTGCCACACAGGCTCTGTGCTCACCAGCTGCCAGAGCAGATTGGTGCCCTCCAATACCACATCTCCTGATTTAACTTCATCTGCAGTGATTCCTCTTTGCAAGTTTGGAGGCAGTTTTATAATCAGAGTGCTCGATGTGTGGGACCATTGGGAGATTCCTTTTGGAATCCTGACCTCAAGTACTGATACAGTCACATGCAGAATGTTGTTGTTCCAGCTTTGATCCAAGAATACAAGCTGCTCGTTGGTCCTGATATTTATGGGTTTTTTCTCTCTTTTTTTTTTCTTTTCTTTTTTTTTTTTTTTCTGCAGAATCTCAGGGACAAACTCACCCAATCTTTAAGGATTACCTCCCTGGTTCTTCTGACGTTCCTCAACAGAATATGCCTGTTGAACCAACAAGTCTCTGGAAGCAAACATCACACACTCATAATTTACCACCTGGTTTGGAATACCTGAACCAGGTCCTGAATCTTTCTGAATGTTAGAATTATTATGTTCTCCTTTTATGTTGCTTTGATACCCTGGAGGTTGAGGTTGTTTGAGTTTTTCCCCTTGGGAGAAGGGTAGGTTGAGATGGAGAGGCTTTTTTGTTGTTTAATATTACTATGAAATAAGGAACACAGGAAAAAGAAGCTTTTTCTTCATTGCTGCCCTGCATTTTATAGAAATTAGATGAGCATAAGTCTGAGTGGCTACGAACTTGCATTAATTCTGTGTGGGGAAGAAAGTGCTAATACCTGAGAGAGGAAAATGCTTGAAAATGGAGGCAGAGAAGTAGGTCATAGATGGGGAAGAAAAATGAATGCTTAAGTCTTCTCCATCCTACTGCTAAACATGTGGCTGTCCCTTTTGCTCTGTGAAACCTTTCAGCTCCTGGAGCTCAGAGCACTGATGGTCTGCATCTCCACTCCAGAAGTTTCATCTTTTCCTGAACCTTTTTACCAGGAGGGTCACTCCCTGCTCTTGCTTTGACACTGAGATTTGCATTTTACATGTGGCTGGATTGTGCCACTCTTAGCTGCTGAGTAAGGTGTCACACGCCCTGCCAGGTATGGGCAGGGACAGAATCAGCCCCCAGCATAGTCAGATCACAATTCTGATACATCTCTGCTGTGTTTGCATTTTGGTGATGCTGGGAAATGCTTACTTTACTCAAGATGTGTTTTTCAAGCACAAATTTCTGATAGTTTTGTATAGAAGCAGAAATTGAATGTATTTTGTATTTGGAGCTAAGTTACCTAGATTGCTTCTGAAGAGTCTCCCCATTTCATTAGCTATCTTTGATGTGGAGTGATGACTTTGATTTCAAGATGCCTGAGCACAAAATGATATGTGTTGTCAATTACATGAGCATTTGCTTACAGACCGTGGAAGATACATTTTTTAGTCTAAAAGTGATTGTGATAGTAAGTACTTGGCAGGTTACATATTCAGGCTCCTGTACGAACATGAATTACACCCAGATTTACCCAGAGTAGACTAGTGTGGCAAATACTATCACTGCATTTTACAGAATCTTTGCATCTGACATTAAGACAAAAGAGCAGGTCACTCTCAGAGCTACAGCTGGAACCGAAGACCTCATTCATCCTTACTCCTGGCCTGTGCTGCAGTCCTTGCTAATTATTCTCAATTTTCTGTGTAGTCTGAAAGGTGGGAAGCATGTGTGCAGTGCTGATTGCTGGCATGCACCCACAGCTCGAGTTTCCATGCACTGAAGAACGTTTTAGTGTGTGATGCTGGAGCCATTCTGGCTAATGAGAGGGGCTCATTCAGGATAGATGGGAGCATAAAGGAGGTCCCAGCAGCAGGGAGAGGGCTGCCTGCAGAAGGCATGTGGGATTGTCAGCTGCTAGACTTACCCCTTGGGATTGTCTTCATGGACTAAGAGATGTTCACGTAATGAAATGCTCAAATGAAGATGTTTCTAGCAGAACTTGGAATTATTTATGCCACTGGGAAGGCTTCTAGAAGACTCTGTGCCTTGGGGAAAGGTGTGTCCAAACTGAAACAGGCACAGAGAGGTGCTACTGGAAGTGCATGGGGAATAGAGAACCTCCTTTAAAACAAGACTCCATCTGTTTTATCTGTAGACGAAAACAACACTATCAGAGAGGGAACCATACTGAGTGCCTAGGAGAGTAAACAGACTGTGGGAAAGAGACATATTTAATTTATAGAATTACATTACTGGAAGAAAGATTATATAGAGAGAGGTTGTGAATAAATAGAGAATAACAAATAAAAATTACATTCTTCAACAGGAGTGGGCAAGATTACTGGATAGATTTGAGAAAGCTGAATGCATTTCTCAATAAGACTGTGACATGTTTGACTCTGATGGAAGGATCCAAATTTAGTCAGTCTCAGAGAAATCCCTACAATCTTATTCTAAATAGCAACCCAAGGATGGGATGAGAGGAAAGGAAAATGTGTGTCCTGTAGGTAAAGGCTGGACAGCAACATTTCACTCTGCAGCTCCATACCCGGAGTGAGTTCAGGTGAAAGAACAATTCCCATTGGCTGTTTGAGGTGCACCAGAGACGGGTAAAAAACTGCTTCTGCCTCAGCAAACACATCAGCTTTCTACGACTATCACTCTTGAAATAACTTCCTACAAAAAAAAAAGTTACTTAAACCTTACTACTATCTTCCAGATTACAGCCATAGTTCAAAGAGTGCCCATAACAAAAATTGAATGAACCTGTTCCCACAGCAGGAATAGACAGGTGAAACCTTGGAGAAGATTTTTCTGATTTTTTCAGCTGCATGTTGTGCCACTACTCAGGTTTAACTACTTTTTTAAAAAGCTTCTTTGTTTAGACTTGGTTAAACTGATCAGATGTAGATTTGCCCACAGAACTGAATACTGAGAGTTAGCTGTGTATATGGAATTTTAACATAACTGAGCTCAAGAGGACCAGACCCTGGTAAAGCTCAAGGACTTTTGTTGCTTTCAAATGCAAGTGCAGAATTCCCTCAATCCACAAGTGCCCCAATAAAAATGCCCCAGAGTAACTGCCCTGCAGAAACCAGTGAAAGGCAAAACAAGGATAACAAGTGGTACTGCTGTATTGTCTCAACATTGTTTATACATTGTGCACAATAAACCAATATGTAGACCAAAATCAAAGCTTTTAACAATTCAGGCTCATTAATTTTCTTTTCCCTGTGAAAGTCTACATGGGGCAAAGAAATCTGTATTAAAATAAATACTAAACTACTAAAATAGCTCTACCATCTTTAACTTTTAAATTCTCTTTCCATCAGCAGAGCCCTTCCCATGAGCTCCAAGAGCTCTCTCATGAGACCCAAACAACAAACAGCAAAGATTCTTGGGAGAATATTTTTACGTCTAAATATTTTTTATTATTTCAATTACTGCCATGCACATTTCCGAGATTAATGAAAGGGATAAAGAAGTTCTTCTTTTTGCCAGCTTTTCTTTGCAGCCTGAACTAGCTGCAGGAGCTGACTAGAAGTGACAAATGGCTGCAACAGTTTGAATATGTACCAGGCAAGATTTATCAATTTTAAAATATCCAGGCGCTGGAGAGCTATGACATGCTGGTCTCAGAAGGTCGCTGTGTGCTTTGTGTCTGCAGCTGTGAGTAATGGCAAAACCCTGTGCCAAGCGTTTGCTCATCAGGAATTTACAGAAAAATTACGGAAAAGAGATTGGTAAAGCCTAAAACTGTCACATAAAACAGGCATAAAAAGTCACATAAAACTGAAAGGTAGACTGAAATTAAGTCTTGCTGGTTTTATAATGCTAACAACTGTTCTAGAATAATGCCAGAGGGATGATAAGCACTGCGAAGCTGGGTATCATGGCAAGCAGTTTTTCTCCTGCATTTGTAACCAGCTCTTGGGGGAAGACATTTTCAGCCAGCTGAGTGTTTCACTGTTGTTTTGCACTTTCTGGTACCCTGGCATGACCATTTGCCAGTTTTAGGGTGCAGGGCTCGTGTTCCTGAGATCAGGGTGTTAAAGCTCTGTGTGCCATCCTTGGCATCCCCTGACTGCCGTGCTGGGCTGCTCCAGCAGGGTCCTTTAGGATGTGGCCACTGCACAATCTGAGCTTGAGCCCAGGCTCACTCACTGCTGCACTGCCACAGTGCCCAGCACCAACCTTGCATTTGGGGTGAGGGGCTTCCCCTCTGCCAGAGAGGAGCAACAGGAGCAAGAAGGGGATTCTGCTTCTCTCACAGCTTTCTGTTGCTGTTGTCTTCCTTATTCCCCCAGAGAAGATTATTTTTCTTCAAATACGTGGATGAATTACATTAGGCCACAGCACCTAATGTCACATTCCTCAGCCATAATTTCAGAGAGAAGTCCAAAGTGTGACTTGAGGTGTCCTTCAGGCACCCAGTCTGTGCACCTCTGGAATGAAAGAAATCTTAATAACAGTGAAAATAGACATGTGACCACTGGTAGCCCCAGACGTATCCAAGACCCACTATCTTGTTTATTCTTTTAAAACAGCTGGACCAGATAATTATTCATCAGCAAGTGGAGCTTCTGGAAGGTATGGTGCAATCCTTGTCACCCTTTAACAGTGCTGGTATAGGGGTGTCTCCAAAGGCATCCAAGTCTTACCCCCAGCTCAGTGAAGTCACTGTGAGCCCTCCTGCTGCCCTTGTGTCAGGCTGTTATGCAGTGATAGTGTGAGAAAGACTCACTTTATTGTTTGCCTGTTCTGCAGCAAACCACTGAGGGGTGAGTAATCTCTACAGCAGTCAGACACCTCCCTCTCAGTGTTATTAAAGTTTAACCATCTTTCCAATCCATGGGAAAATTTATTGCCTTTAACAGTAACTAACATACTATGAGAAACAAAGCGAATAGAGAAAGGGAGGTCAGAAAATATAAAATGAAGCAAAAGATTTTCTAATTACTTAGTTTCTCAGAATTTCAAATTACCAAACAAGTATTAAGTTCTGCCAGTAAAACACTGTAAAAGATATTTCTCCCATTCAAAATCGTTTTGGCCTGATTCTTGAATGACCTCCTGGGTGAAAGCTTTGTCACTGAAGTGGGGTAGTCTCACGATGTTAATTTTCACAGATGATAAAGCCAGAAAAAGCCCAAACAAAAACTCAGGATCTGAATTCTCTGTTGTGATGTGTACTTTAGTGTACAGCAAATGAAAGTCTGAATAAATTCCTTCAAAATACAGACCTTTGTGCTGCTACTTCAAAACAATTTTTTAAACTATCTTTGTCATAAGACTTTTGGAATAAATGCTCATACACATATACACACTATCATTACACGAAGGTAATAACAAAGATTATATTAAGTTAATGTTCTATTTGTTTTGATTTATTAGCCATACTTGGCACGGAGACCTCCAGCAGATATGAGATAAAAAACCACTTGGGACAAAGAGTTTACTTTGCAGTGGAAGAGAACGGCTGCTTTGACCGCCAGCTGTGCTCGCCCATCCGGGCTTTCACCATCCGCATCGCGGATAACGCCGGCCGCGAGGTCATCCGTGTTCTCAGACCCTTGAGGTGCAACAGCTGCTGCTTCCCCTGCTTCCTGCAGGAGGTGAGGCCATCCTGGGTGCCCTTTGTCCCTGCATCTCGCTGTGCAGCTCCTTGAGGGTGGCAGGGAGGAATTCAGGCATTCCCAGCCAGCCCAGGGACTGTGGGGAGGGTTTGAGTAGAGTCAGGTATTGATAAACGAGTTCTGTTCCCTGTGTGCCTCCTCCCTCCCATGGCACCCGCCTTTGCTGGCATCCCACACAAAGCTCTGGTGTCTGATGATGTCTCTCCAGGCAAGTGACACCCCAAAACACTGCTTGTCCTGGCACAGGCAGAGATCAGCCACTGAACTCCAGGAGGCCACTGGGGTCTGTGGATGGGACTTCAAAGCATCTCTCTGAGGAGGCTGAGCCTTCACTCCATGGATCTGCCTCTTCAGGGCCATGTATCTCTGGGAAATTGCAGAACATGGAAGAAAGGTGCTTGGAGTAAAAAATGCAGATACCATGGAACGTTAGAGGCTTCCTCCATATTTTTTTACTGTCCTTTATTCAGACATCTTTCTTGTGTTATGAAAATGTTTTACAGGTTAGCTCATGCACTTACCTTCTTAGCACTTATCTTTGTCAGGATTTTTAAAGAAAAGTTCCTTTGGTAGTACAGCTACTTAAAAAAGGCTTGTAGGATACTCACTGAATACAATAACAATTTTTTCCCCAGTTTATAGCTTTTATAAAGTCTTTTATTGTATGTAGGATGTTGGTTTCTGGTGCAGCTTTTGAGCTTCATATTGTCCACTGTATTTAACAACAGAGAGTTCTGCAATATCCAATTCCATATTTGATAAAAGGATATATTACTACATTCAGTAGATAAATATTTTGTCATTATATAAACAATACACTATCATGGAAAAATATATTAATTTAAAATCAGCTAAAGACGTTTTTGTTGTTGTTTTCTTTTGCTTGCTAGTTAGAAGTTCAGTCCCCACCAGGTACAATAGCTGGGTATGTTGTACAGAACTGGGACCCTTTTCTGCCAAAGTTTACTATACAGAATCAAAGTAAAGAAGATGTGCTAAAAATAATTGGCCCATATGCAACCTGTGGCTGTTTTGAAGATGTTGACTTTGAGGTATGTTTCATAGAAGTGTTAACGATTTAAAAGTTTTACTACTTTGAATAAATTTCTCAGATGAGAGGGAGAATGGAAGATACTTAAAGAAACCCTGAACAGAGTTGTCTGGTGTGAATAAAGTGCTTTGCATAAAGGAATTTTTGGGGTTATCAACTTATCAACTCATTAGCCAAATCAGAAGACTCCAGTGAGTGTTGTCTGAAATTTCAGTATACTGAGAAATATGCAGATATCTGCATAATTGAGAACATGCTTGTCCCCTGAGGGGACAGTGGTCCACAGCAGTGGGGCTAAGAGAAAATAAAAAAAACATGAGAGAGGAAACAAAACCCCACAACTCTGTGAAAGAAAGGCAAAACTGGCATAAACTTTCAAGATTGCTTTCTCCCACTTTTTGTCAGCTCTAAAGATGCTGATGTTTCCAAACTTGAGATCCTTTCTTGCATTCCACTTGTAAAGGGAAATTTAACACTAATAGAATATAGCAGCAATAAGAATAAAAGGAGAACCTGACAGCTATAGCATAGTGTGCATGTCAGGACACAGTCATTAATTCTGGGGAGATATCATCAGTGTGCACTTGATTTGTTTACATTTATGTCTGTTCCTCTTTTTTCTTTGTGCAGGTAAAAGCTCTCGATGAGATGACAACAATCGGCAAAATTTCCAAGTATTGGTCTGGATTTGTGAACAATGTCTTTACCAACACTGCCAACTTTGGGATCCAGGTCCCTGTAGATCTTGACGTGAGGATCAAGGCAGTGATGATTGGTGCTTGTTTCCTCATTGTAAGTGGGCAAGGTGGAGAGGCAGACACACAGACATGTGCAGACCAGGGCAAAAGGGGCCTTTGTTGTCAGCTGAGAACTACAAAAGTGAAGTGCACTGGAAAACCAAACCCAATACCTAAAAGATAAATTAACTAAAACATTTTAATTTTTATGTCTGATTTTTGTTTGTTTGTTGTGATCTTAAATTTTTGTTTATTAAACTATTTACATAGTAATACACATGAAGTTCAATATTTTGTGTGGCAGAATCAAATCTCAACATACATGTCAAACCTACCAAACTCCCCCAAACCTCTTATTGTGTATAACCAAAAAAAATGTTATGTTGGTTCTAATGGTACTTAAAACCAATTCAATAATTCTGTTGAGTGTTGTATGTAAGACCTTCAGGTGATATGAAAATTCCTACAAAAATTCTCTCGTGAAGATAACCATAAGAGTCAAATGAGAAAGAGAATACTCAGTGCTAGGGGTAAAGATGAAATGAAGATGCATATTTTCTAGAATTAGAAATTGATATTTGCTGTGTAGCTCTTTTACCAACATAACTGTGTTAACACAAAATGGTTTCAAAATCGTCTGTGATACTTATATCAGAGACTGTAAACCAAAATTCTAATACTATTTAAATTATTCACTGAAAAGTATTTGCTTTAAAATTCCAACAATTCAGGAAATTTTGCTTTTAGTAGGATAGAAATGGCAGTTAAGATTTTCGGATTGTCTCCTCCAAAACTCCTGTTTCTCAGTGGCAGTGATTAAAAGTGATTGACTAATATAATTACTTTATGTAACTAAAGCCTACAAGTAAGACTTTTGATAGCAATTGTTGAATTTTTGTGTCTTCCATACCTAATTCACAGTTTGTTTATTTATAGGACTTAATGTTCTTCGAAAATTCTTTGGATGGATTATAACAAGATGACAGAAACAATGAAATATGCAGAATGTGTTCCAGTAGGTAAAAATGAACATAAATTGATCTTCTTGCTTTGAAGGCTTATACATTTCTAATTCTTTTTCATTTTCTTCCAGAAATCGCTTGAGCTTTGGACATGATTTTAAACTGCAAAATCCTTGTTCCTTATAGGAAAAGACAGGGAGCTAATGAGGATGTTTATTAAAATATGTCTCATGTAAATAATAATTTCCCACTTACATTTTATATGTGCTGTAGCTAAACACATAGTTTTCACACAGAGCACTGTTGCTTTGGAACAGTGCTATTCTCTTCTTTCTCTTTTGATGTTCCTGCATGGGAAATCATGAAAGATTAGATGAAGGCTTGCAGCATCACTGATGAAAGTCTATGTTTAGGGAAGCCTTTGATGTTTTGCAAGTGCTGTACCAGTTACTAACCACATGAGGGTGTGTTCTGGGGGCTTTTTGTCATCTTAGAAGTAATTTTCTGATTTGTTATTTAATTAATAGTAGCAAACTGATTTGAAAGTAACAAATATAAAAACATACCCAATGAGAAGTTCAAGATGTTATCTGTTTCAGTCAGATGGAAGAAGGGAAGTTATGTTTGCTAGTAAATGAATTTTGTGACAAAGATTGTTTTAATGAGTGGCAGCCAGAAATTATGCTTCCAGCCTTAGACTTGGGAATGTAAGATCTATTCTGAAAATCTGGTCTTCCACTATTTCCACTGAAGGCAGGCCATAGATAAAGTTTGAGTGATGGTTCCTCTGTGTGCTAGAGACTCACGAATCCCTTCCCTTTGTACCAGCCAGTGTTAAGGATCCTGCTGCCATCTACTCAAGGCGTTCCTTAAAAGGTTTGTTCCTCTTTGTAATATCTGGTGGCTGATAATTTTTCATTCAGACTTGCCTGAGGCATTCCTCGAACAGAATTATTCTTTTCCTTTGGCAAGCTCAAGTGTTTTCTATGAAGACTGTGCAGAAGGAGCTTTTAACAGTTCAGCAGTTTTCCATAGCTGTTCCTTCCTGCAGCCACACCTCATTGTACTGTTCCAAACATTTCCACCAGCAGGCTTTTGCCAATACAAACTTCCTTTGTAGGAACGATAGATATGTAAGACGTTAACAGATTTTTTTGCTGTTGTTGCAAAATATTTGCTGTTTGAACTTGGTTATGCCTCTCAAAAACTCCCTTCAAGAAGCAAGCCAGTACCATAAAATATTGGTGGCAAACCCAATTGTCGCCAGTCAGGTTTCTAAGGGGAGCGTTTTACAAATCACTAGAAATGCTGTATTATTTTCTTTTTTAGTGTCAACCAGTAATTCAATTCTTGCAAACAACCAACACATCAACGGAAAGAGAGGAGATAATGAATAATTCATAAAAATGAAAAAGAGCTAAATTTATCAGGTGATTAATGCTCAACAAATATTTAGACTAATTTTAAATTAATGTTCATGGATATGAATTCAAACACAGTGAAGTCAGGAAGTTGCAACTAACGATCCCATAGTGAAATTAACTCAGGAATGCTTATAGATTTAAACAGTATGTTTTAGATTATATACCACACTTAGGTATTTATACAGATTTACATATGTCTTGAAAATAATTGTGGTTAACAAGCTCTGACAATCATCATTATCTGTTAACCATTTCACTCCCGGCTCTGGCTGTGACTCGTGGCAGTGCAATCAGGCTGCTGGAGTTGGGAGCTCCCAGGGAACCACTGCTGCCACCTTTCCCAGGAGGAAGCGCCCTGTGAGCTTCGTGGGCAAGAAGCTCCCTCGTGTGGAAATTCCGGAATTTGCAGAGGAATACAGGATGCTTTCTGCTATTCTCGCTAATCTCACGCTGGTGTCGTTCTGTGAAATGCAGCTCCTGCAAGCCTGACTGTCGACTGAGAAAAAGAACCAGATTTTGGGGTTTTTTTTCTCTTTAAATCCCTTTGCCATCTTAGAAGTCACTGCTATTGTAGCCCATAATCTTGAGTCTCCTGCAGCTATTGAGCTGCGTGTGTCTGAACACTCGACTGTATTCAGTGCCTTAAAATCAGAGGATCCCCACCTATCTCCCACTTTTCCCCTGCAATTTCCAGTCTTTTTGTGGCCCTTAACAAGCCAAAGACATCTCTAAGCAAATGTGCCCAACCTCATTGAAGTCAACAGAAAATAAGGTTTTATTTACCTGCAGGGTTGAATTTGGCAGTGAATGTCCACGTATCTACCTTCTAGGTAAGCAATATGTGCATATGTTTTTTTAATGAATTGCAACCAGATGATAACACTGGATTTCTCTTAGTGATTTTGCTGTTTTTTTGTGTTAACACAAGGGGTTTTTTGCTGTTTATTTAAATATATATGAGTATGTTTGAATATCTCTGTTCACACTCAGAGGCAGCTTCTGGGACATACAAGAACAGGCTCATCCCCTGGATAAAACAAGCAGTGGGGCTGGGATAGCTCTTGCTGCTTAGAACTCCCTCAGCATCCTGCTTGACCTCTGTGCCACCCTCCAGCATTCTGGCAGAAATTCCGTGCCAATGCCAGTGCTTTTCCAGCTGGGACCTGGTTCATCTATCCCACAGCTGCCACGCAGGGGCAGGTATCCATCCTCAGCAGAGCTTATGATTCTGCACGATATTGCTAAAGAGGAGCTTATGTGTTCTAAGGTCTTAATAACCTGCAGCTCTAGCTAATAACTCTTTCTTATTAATAGCAATGTGTTTCACGTTATGGGAGCTACATATGCTCACTTTTCAGTTACCCCATAGGCTAGGAGTGGCTCCCAAAGGAGAATTCAGAATCTCCCAAAGGGTCACAAGCTTTTTTCTAAAGCAAATTCATGTCCTCAATATCATCTAGAGAGAAACGTGAGTGCTCTAAAGAAACAGAAATTTTACTTAATCTGGCCAAGCAAATATTTTTGATCGGTAACCAAAGTGTAAATCTGTGTAGTTCACACTCCTTGTGTTCAGCAGATGGCAGCAACAGCTCATTATGACAGTATTCAGCTTTTCACATATCCTAAACTGTACCCAGGATGCTAATTAAAGTTCAACATACCTTTAACCTCTAATTAAATTCTACTCTTAACTGAAGGATGTTATTTTCTATGTCTGATATTAAACCTTTGCCACACAATACTGGATTATCTTTACTGCCTGCAATTTACAGCTGAATTATTGGTTATTTTATGAGATCTGGCCAGGGCATGGGCAGAATAGAGACTACCACAAAGTGAGCTCCTCTGGTGAGTATCCAACCTAGATTTTGTACCTGGAGCATCTCTCCAGCTTCTGCAGTGGACAGAGGAGAAGCCCCACCTCCAGGACACTCCCACCTTCTGCAGAAACAGAAAGTGCCATGTGTAAAGGAGATTGCTGTGTGGTGGTGTGCCCAGAAAGGTGGAAGGTTTCTATGGTAAAAGGTCGTGTCATGATGGTCTATCACTGTTTGCTGGGGCACAGAGGGGAAATCCTCTTAGTGCCCCAAACCCAGGTGGCATCAGCACATGGGGAGGAACTGGTTTGCCCATGGGAAGATCAGACACTTCCTGTGAGAGAGTGAAGACACAGAGTTGCTGTAAATTCTGAGATTCTTTGGTTGTCTGATAATTTGGTGGATACAAAAGAACTTCTCTTCATAGACTTTGCTGCGTGTATTTAAAAATTCTTTTGTGTCGATTTTGTTATTTGTTTTAGGATTAGATAAACCTGGAAATGATCCAAAATGCACATTTTCTAAGAGAGTTGTCTAAGTGAAGCTATTTGGAAAACAAACAAACAAAAAAATTTCCTCCTTCTGACCCTCAGTTGTATTGGTTTCTTTTCAATTAGAATGCTATGTTCTATATTAGAATACTCATTTGAAAGACTTGTTTTTCTCTGTTCCAGTCACATTAGGTAAGTGCTCTATTTACACTTCTGATGTTTTGTATTAGAAAAACCCATACACAGCAACAACCAAATCACAAAACACCCTGCAAGCTTCTGTTGCAGACAATGCTCTATGAGAATAACTGTTTCTATCTAGAAATGACCATGGGCATTTTCTCTTTCTGCCCCCTCCCTTATCCTCCCCAGATCATAGAATCATAGGATGGTTTGAATTGGAAGAAACCTTAAAGATCACTTAGTTCCACCTCCCTGCCATGAGCAGGGACATTTTCACTAGACCACATTGCCCAAAGCCATAAGGCAAATATCACAGTGCATGTGTCAAGGTCCAGTATTGCTTCATAAGTCTTTTCATAGTCATTTATGGATTGATTGCAGAATCTTGAGTGAATTTTGGACAAGGCTAATGACTGTATTAGTTTTCTATCCACATGTCATTTCTAGACCCTTGAAAAATTATATTTTGCCATCATGAATCATTTTAAGCAGTTGTCATGATAATGCCCATTTATACCAGCAAGGACTGAGAAAAGAAATGCAGCCTAGGATAAGAATAAGGACCACTACCAGCAATACCTTGTATGTTTCACACTTTTCTAGAATTCAAGAGAAAGTTTTAAGCTTTTTTTATTATTATTTTTTAATTTCTTATGGGCTTCCTGAAGACCCCAAAGTGTCAAAATACTGATTTATTTTATAAAGAAAAAATCCTATTTACTTTGCAAGTCCAGGGGAGATATTTTGGCTGTTATGTATAGGATAGTGGCTAATTGTATAGGATAGGAGTAAATTTGATTTGTACGAAAAAAGATTTGTACGAAATAACTTGTTAATAATTAAGGATCCAGAGGACTTTCTGTGACAAGATGAGAGAGTTGGGGTTGTTTAATCTGCAGAAGAGAAGGGCCCAGTGAGACCTTACAGCAGGGACTTTAGAAAAAGGACATGTCAAAGACAGGGCAAGGGGGAGTGGTTTCAAACTGAAAAAAAAGCAAGTTTACATTAGATACAAGGAAGAAATTCTTTACTGTGAGGGTGCTGAGGCCCTGTCACAGGTGGCCCAGGGAAGCTGGAGCTGCCCCATCTGTGCAAGTGTCCAAGGCCAGGCTGGACGGGGCTCTCAGCAGCCTGGAATAGTGGAAGGTGTCCCTGCCCATGGCAGGGGGTTGGAACAAGATGAGCTTTAAGTCCATTCCAAACCAAATCATTGTAGAATTTGTTCATTTAATCTTCTCTCCTATCTCAAGTTCCAAATAATTTTAGATTAAGGCTCAGAACGCCTGGGTAAAGACCCACAAGGGGTGCAATCTTTAGCCTTTGGCATTGCCTAGGACTGGGTCAGCCACATTGCACTTGGAGCCCTTGAAAATAAGACTAGTTTACAAATGTTATTGTTTGAAATTCAAAGGACTTTAAAAAAGATTAGTATTTAAACCAAGAACTCTGTGCACTTGAAAACTTCTTAGAGTTTGGAACAGTTTTAAATACTTGATTCTGAAATTAAGTAAGCCTGCCATATGAGAGAGCAGCATCACTTCAATGCTCTGAAAATGCAGTTGTGATAAAAACAAGTTTAGCAGAAGCCAGGACAAGTGGGTTATTACTTAAATGAACAATTTGGTCAAGAAATTAATTCAATGGTACCCTATCAGGAAGAGTTTTATGTCTGGTTTTATTGCTTTCAGACTCTCAAGGGCCTGATATAAAATTAAATAAAAACTCACAGAAGAGTGAAATGCCACCAAGAATTAGTGGTGTACAGTGTATTTAATCCTCCTTGACACAGTGGATATTGCCCTTGCAAAGTCCCACAGTTTGAGTCCCACTCCCTTCCCTTTCCTAATTGAGCCTAATAGAAGATCAAAGAGAGTTTTTTTCCTTTTGGTGATCTGCAAGATGGGTCCTTAAATATCTTTTGTCTACTGTGGATGTTCATACAGTATTCATCATTGTGATGCCAAACCAGTTCTTGCATTGTTACAAACACACAGTGTATGGTGGTTCTGTCCTTGCTGCTGAGGAAAAGGTTCAACGGGTGCATTTTCTCTGTGCTTTGCTCAAAACTGCGACAGTGAGTAAGGAGATGATGTGAAAGTTTCAGGGCAATAAAATAAGGACAAGAGACACTAAATCTAGGCAGGACTGTGGAGAGAAGCTCTTGTGCAAATAGGCAGGCATGTCTTTGGCAAATATTTTTTCAATAAGAGCACAGAAACACCAGTTGATTTGCCAAGATCATCTGTGCCAGCAGGCGTAGCACCTAAATAAAGGTGCATGTGATCCACAAAAACTTCTCTAAGGTGAAACTATTTGCTTTTAGCTGCGGTGATTGGAACCAGTGGGACCAGGTGTTTTGTTCATGATTTGTATTTTATCAACACATGAACTTACCTCCTTTCCTCCTCCAAAGTTTGAGCTTTGGACTTCCATACAACCTGCAGTTGTCACAGAGAGGTGTGGTTTTATGGCTGGGGCATAAAAAAGATACATACATAACCCAAGTAAGACTCATTTGAAATAGCCCCATAAATTGGTTTATCTCAACTCTTGTGGTTTTTTGCAGTTCTCTCCTGCCAATACTGTGTTTGAGTGAACACGAGGTTTTAGTTGAGCTGTCACCACCCTGGGTAAGACCCTTGGCCCTGTCAGAAGGGAAGGAGTAAATGATTGTGGAGCTTGGGAGGAGGATGAGTCTGATGGAAACAAATCCCTGCAAAATCAGGGTAACATGAACTAAGGAAAGAGTATGGGAACAAAAGTAGCAGGGTTGGAGGAGAACCCAAGAAGTATAAGATATTTGTAAGATTAAATTAATGTTTTCAATCAGAAGGGAAGTCTAATACATTCTCAGTGGAAAAGAATTATGGATCTTTGCTAAAAATAAGCACCTGCTTGGTGAAGTTACAATTCTTTATTGCATTGCTAATCTGTTCAAGCTAAAATGTTCTTTTATCTTGTACTTCAGCAATGTAACTGATAAGATATGATTAAGAGAGAAAAAATGTGTAAGAAAATCTGCAGAGATGCCAAATGCCTCATGCATCATTGACGTGCTTAGCACCATATATATTTATTACTACAAATATTTGTTAGCTTTCTTGGTGAACTTTGTAATCTAAAACCATTACAATAAACTGAAATAGAAGCCATTCCTGAAGCAGATATTTCAGTGCAGATGTAGTAAAAAAAAAAAGTCCCCATTTCCTCTCTTTTCCCATGATGTCCCAGAGAGTAAATTTTGTAAATAACTTTGTT